CCTTTGTGTAGAAACATGAATAAACAATGAATGTGCATGTGTTTTCAACATGACATTCTATAAAAAAGTATTTAAATAAAGACAATAACGTTTATTTTCTAATGATTCCTGAGCGTCAATCTCCCCCTGCTCCATCCCTAAAACTTTCTGCATCTTTATATTAGTTAATCCATGCATTTAGATTTCCACCAAAGACAAAGAAAAAAAGCACTAGGAAAGATGAGAGCTTCTGACCGGTAAGAAAACATCCTGGGTGAAGAGAATCAGATCGTTCAGTAGAACCCAGTTTTTCAGTATTGCGGTGATAAGACATGCAAACCTAGTGAATGATGAAGCTGGATATATATTTAACCTTAATTGAAATATAAATTCTAATGTAAATGAAGGCTTAAATTCTAAGGAAGGAGCACACAAATAGGCAAAAGGGTGTCTCTGCCTCTCTCTCTTTCTCCTCTATCATAAATAAATAAATATTTAAAAAAAGGGGATAACATAATAATACATATAATACATCATTCTCCCTCTTACCATATCACTGCCATTAGAACAACTGGACATTCACACGCAAAAAAAAATAAAAAATAAAAATAAAAACACAAAAAAACTGAATCTGGACACAGACCTTACACCATTCATAACAATTAGCTCAAAGTGGCTCACAGACCGAAATGCAAAATGCAAAACTATAAAACTCCTAAAAGATAACACACAAGAAAATCTATACCCTCTTGGGTGTGGGGATGAGTTTGTAGCTACAATACCAAAGGCATGATCCATGAAAGAAAAAAATTGGTAAAATGGACTTGAGTACAATTAAAATCTTATGCTTTGTGAGAGACATTTTGGGGAATGAAAAGTTACCCACTGGAGAATATATTTGCAAAATACAACTCTTGATAAAGGACTAGTATTGGGGATCCCTGGGTGGCTCAGTGGTTTAGCACCTGCCTTTGGCCCAGGGCGCGATCCTGGAGTCCCGGGATCGAATCCGACGTCAGGCTCCCGGCATGGAGCCTGCTTCTCCCTCCTCCTGTGTCTCTGCCTCTCTCTCTCTCTCTCTCTATGTCTATCATAAATAAATAAATAAATCTTCAAAAAAATAAAAAAAATAAAGGACTAGTATCTAAAGCATAAAAAGTTCTCAAATCCAACAATAATGGAATACACAATCCAACGAAAACACGGGCAGAAGACCTGAACCTCACCAAAGAAGATATTCAGATGTCAAATAAGCCTATGACGAGACCTTCACAGCACGCATCATTAGGGGATCCTAAATGAAAACAACATTTAGATGCCGCCACACATGCACCGGAAGGGCTGAAATCGAAAACCCTGCAACGCCAAATGCTGGGGCAGCTGTGGGAAGGTAGGAACTCTGATTCATAGCTGCTAGAAATGCAAAAACGGTACCGCTGCTTTGAAAGAGAGCCTGGCAGTTTCTCATAGAACTAAGCCCTCTCTTACCCCGTGATCTGCACATGTTCCAGTTCATTTACCGAAACAAGTTGAAAAGTTACATCACACAAAAACCTGTCCATGAGTGTTCACAGCACTTTTTAAATAATTGCCAAAGCTTAGAAACAACCAAGATGTCTGTGACAGTGTGATTTCTACGAAGAAATCTATATTTGGTCTTTGTCACCATTTCTGGCACAGAGCTCCGAAGACCCTTGGCATTTCCTAAGCACTGACGGCCATAGAGGTGCCGTCTGTCGTGTTAACGAGGTGACTTTTGAAAAGCTGGGAGGTCACCTATGGATGCTGACTAGCTGCCAAGGGAATGGAACTTGTTACTAGAGTATTGGTACAGTAAGCTCTACCCCTGACCTCCAGGCAGGGGATTGGGCCGAAGATTGAGTTCAATCACCCGTGAGCAATGATGCGATCAACCGTGCCTGTATAATGAAGTCTCCATAAAAACCCCCAAGGGGGTTTGCAGAGCTTCAGGGCTGGTGAACAAATGGAGATCTGGGGAGAGTGGCACAGGAGAGGACATGGAAGCCCAGTGCCCCTTCCCCAGACCTGGCCCCAAGCATCCCTTCCATCTGGTTGTTCCTGAGTTAGAACCTTTTAGAACAAACCAGTGACCTGGCAAGTAGAATGTGGATCTGAGTCCTGTGAGCGTCTCTAACAAAGTAATCAAACCCGACAATGGGGCTCATTGGGATTTCTGATCTATAGCAGTGGATCGGGTGACAACTTGGAGTTACAAATGGCAAGTGAAGTGGGGTGGGGCAGTCTGGTAGGACCGAACCCTTGGCCTGTGGGATCTAATGCTGTTGCCAGGTAAATAGTATCAGAGTGGACTTCATTGCTTGGTGGGACTGGAAGACCATGTGCCATAAGCTGGTGCAGAATCTTAATGTCCTTTGACAGGTACATCCAGAGAATGGAATACTATTCAGTGGTTTTTTTCTTTTAAGAGATACAGGGACACCTGAGTGGCTTCATCAATTGAGCATCTGACTCTTGGTATTGGTTCAGGTCATGATTCCATGGGTCGTGGGATCAAGCCCCGTGTCAAGCACTGAGCTCAGCAGGAGTCTGCTTGGACATTCCCTCTCCCTCTGCCTCTTCCCTCACTCTCTTTAGCTCTCAAATAAATAACCCTTTAAGAAAAAGAGAGAGAGAGAGAGAGAGAGAGAGAGAGAGAGAGAGAGAGCTATAAAGACCCTGGAAGACAGGGAAGAATCTTAAATGCATGATGCTAAGTGAAAGAAGCCAATCCCAAAAGGCTACATGCTGTACGACTATAACTCTATGACTTTTGGGACAAAGTAAAACCATGGAGACGGTGAAAAGATCAGTCATTGCCAGGGGTTGGGTGGGTGGGGGGAAACAGCTGGTATACAAGGGTTTTTACATCAGGGAAACTATTCAGTATGACATTGAAATGGTGTATACATGCCATTAGACACTAGTCAAAACCCGTAGAAACAACAGCGCAGAGTGAACCCTCATATAACCTACGGAGTTTAGGAATAATAACGTATCATACTAGTGGGTTAATTAGAACAAATGTACCACAGTACTGCAAGATGGCAATCACAGGAGAAACTATGGGGTAAGGGGTGGCGGGGTATCTGGGAACCCATTGTACTTTCTGCTCATTTTTCTTTACACCTACAATTGCCCTACATACCGTTGACTAGTTGTTTTTTTTTAAAAAACTGACTCTGCCCATGCAATCAAAAATGTGTGAAGGACACGAAGACGCATTTCACTGACAAGGATATATGGCTGGCAAACAAACACATGGAAAGATGTTCGACATCATTAGTCATGGGGGAAATGTGAATGAAGGTATCCCTACTCTCCTACCAAAACACCTAAAATTTACAAATACCAAATGCTGGGGAAGATGCAAAGAGCCTGAGTGCCTCATGCATCCCTTGTAGGAACGGTAACTGGTGCAGCCACTCTGGAAAAGGAAAAAAAAAAAAAAAAACCCAAAACAAAAAACCAAGAATTTCCCCAAACTGAAGATTTCCCCAAAGAGATGACAAATTATAGATTATGGAAGTTCTGTGATCCCCAAGGAGAATAAGCACAATGAAACAACCGGCTTGCATCCTCACAACAGATGCAAAGACACAAAGACAAAAAGCAAATACGACGAGGAGCCAGAGGGAAAAAGCCACGTTGCCACATCATCTGCCCATCAGCTCCTCCCACGACTTACATCTGAATCTTCTCCATCCTTCTACAGTGATCGTGTGTGGATGCTCCGGACCCCCCCCCCCCACCCCGGAACTCCATAGGTCACGACCAAGTCTTGTACCAAATCCTACCCTCCCTGCCTTCCCCACTCACAGGATAGATCGTCAACGAGGGGTAGTTCATTTGAATTGACGGAACCGATTTCTTTGGGGGAAGAAAGTTTGTCTCGAAGACTAATTCTTAAATTAAAAAAATAGTGGGCATTATTAACACATGGCCCGTAAGAGCCCAGCAAACCGAGATTGCTCTGACAACTAGGAAATGCTACGGTACTGAGGGGCAGTCATGAGGCACGTGAGGATCTTGAACTGGCCGTGAAAATCTTCCCTTATTTATTTATTTATTTATTTATTTATTTATCTATTTATTTATTTATTTATTAAGATTGATTGGTCTTAGAAAGGAGGGGCAGAGGGAGAGACAGAATCTCAAGCAGGCTCCCACTGAGAGTGGAGCCCAACGCCAGGCTCCACCTTATGACCCTAAGATCATGACCTGAGCCCAAATCAAGAGTTGGCACTTAACGGGCTGAGCCGCCCGGTGTCCCTGCTGCGAGAAGCCTCGAATGCCTGGCTCCCTCCCCTGGTAACACTGGGGCAGGCAGTACCCCAGTACCTTGTCTCTGCTCCCCAGGTGCGTCTGATGTGCAGCCCCTTCGAGCACCAGGAACCTAGGGCCAAGGTCGCAGAGCAATCGCCATGACACGCGACATGACACGTGATGCCTCAGCCACAGGCGCTGCACGGCCCCATCAGGTGCAACAGCTCCCAGGCTCTCGTCGTGACACCGACTATTCCTTTCCCGCTGGGGAAAGCCCATCTGTCTACAAGATGGGCTCGAGCCTGATGCCATTCGGCCACTTGGGTATGACCTGTAGTCAGTCGCTGTCGGCTTGCCACCCCGCCCTTGCAAACGATGGGTCCGGGCGTGTGCTGAGAACGCTGATCTGGGCAGCAAGGCCTCCTGCGGGTTATTCCCGACCTGTCCCCTGGGCCATCATATGCTCCTCTGACGGAGCACTTACCGTGGCCCAGAGCGCTTCAAGGGACCATCACAGGGTGTCGCTTCTAACAGGAGCTCACCAGGATCCTCCGGGCTGGCTGCTCCGCTTACCTCTTACTGAGGTTAGACGGCCCAAGGGACCAATGGAGTGTGGCCCCAGCCTCCCCCGGGGAGCGGCCAGCTGAGCACGCATGTGCCGCCCACCTGTGACCGGCCCAGGCAGGGTGCAGAGGTGCCCAGGGGACCATACCCAGCACGTCCGCAGGTTGACTTACGAAGAAAGGAATCAGGCCCTCCGCCTTGTCTCTCTCCAGGGCCTCCTGCAGGGCCGACGCGCGCATGGCAAACTTGCCATCCGAAGGGATCGCTTTTAATTTCACTCCTCCAATTAATCCAGCTCTTTCCACCGAGGAGTGTGCCTGGAAGGAAGGCAGCGGAGTTGGATTCTCGTGGCCGTGAGCCCCTGGCTCTGCAGAGAGCCCCCCCGTGTGTGGGTCAGCCCCCTGCCCCTGCCCCTCACTCCTGGTGTGTCAGATCCTGTGCACTCTTGCTTTCCAGGTAGGTGGACAAGAGTGAGATGTTGCAAAACACACCCTGAAGCAGAGTGAGCACACCTGGGTTTCTCTCTGGCGGCGCCTGTCACCATGGGGCCCTGGGCTGCTTGGGGGCCAGCTCGGTGCTTAGTGTCTGGAGAAAAGCAGCCCGCGGTGTGGCACCATTACTGTGTGGTGGCTGTGTTGTGTCTCGGGGACTCCCGGCAAAGCCGGCTCTTACTGAAGGCGCCCCCTCTGCCCTGTGGCTCCCACCATCACTGTCTGCTACTTGAGTCCATCCCGGGGTCGGGATCTCCCTGTGGCCGCCCACCCCGTGGAGGTCAGGAGGTCAGGACTCCCAGCTCTGGAGCCTCCCCCCTGGTGACCCTGGCAGGTGACCCCTGTGGACCTCCGCGACCTCTGTGCACAGGGACAGAAGAACCAGCGCCCACTGCGAAGCACAGCTGGGGCGAGGTCTGAAATGCTGCACGGTCTCATTTCAATTTGACTCGACCCAAAACAAGGATTCAGATCCTGGAGGCCAACAGGCTCAGCCAACCACTCACTTGATCAGAGGAGTAGGCCACCAGCTTCTCCATGATGGCGCCCTGCGTCAGTCCTGGGGACGCGGCCTGCAGGCGGCGGGTCACTTTGGTCCGAGCGGCCAGCAGGGCCACCAGAGTGGCCTCACTGGCGCTTCCCTGGGTCAAAGAAAAGGTTGCAATGAGCCTCAAAGAGCAGCAAAGGAGTCAACACCTAAACCGTTGGGGAGACTCAGTGTCTCTATTTTTCTTAAAAGTTGAATCTGAAGCTGCAAAGCTTGTCCTCCTCCGTACGGGAGAAGCCCGAGCCCCCGTGACTGCTGGAAAATGCCCACTGGTTCTTCGGATTCGTTCACATGGCTCTATTTTCTGTGGCCCCTTAGCCAGCACTTCTGGGCGCCTGGCTTGAAGCAGGTATTGCGAGAGGATGCGCTCCGCACGCCTCTCCCCGTGGTCCTCCCAGTGTGGCTGGGAAGTCCTACTCCTAGGTCCCCCCGCACCCCTCGGGGAGCAGACCCCGGCCCAGGCTACCAGCATCTCCCCCCAGCTCTGTGTTCATCGCCGCGTGGACACGGACATCTGCGTTTGTTTACAAACTGCCGTGTATTTTCCCTGAGATTCCAAAATTCCCTTGGAGGATTTCCCTTCGGTTGCTAACGTGATCGGCTACACCGCGTCCTTCCAAATCTGGCCTTGGAGGCCGCACCCCCAGGCCCTCAGAACGTGACCGTATTGGGAGATAAGGTTTCCAAAGACATCACTAAGGTGAAAGGAGCTCTGGCAGGTGTCCCTGCAAGAAGGGGAAGTTAGGCACCAGGCTTCCCCGACACAGAGACGAGGCCGCCGAGGACCCGCGGAGGGGACAGCCCTCTGCAAGCCATGGACAGAGGCATCAGAAGGAATCGGCTCTGCTGACACCTTGATTGGGACTTCCAGCCTCCAGAACCGGGACACGATGAAGCCTATTGTTTAAGCCCCTGCTCTTGGGAGAAGCGCAGCGGACTCGCACAACCAGCGTCAACTCATTCTGGCAACAAGGGACAGGAGGGGACCTGAGTGGGGAAAACTAGAGAGGGACCCAAACCACGAGAGACTCCGAACAAACAAAGGGCTGCGGAAGGGGAGGTGGGTGGTGGGGACGGAGTAACTGGGTGACGGGCACCAAGGAGGGCGCTCGACGGGATGAGCACGGGGTGTTATACTCTGTGTTGGCAAATGGAACTTCAGTAAAAAATAAAAATTTAAAAAGCCCTCATTCTGGCAAGCACTGAAGAGTGCTGCAATCCTGGCTCCTCTGTGGCTGGGAGTGGGTAAACGGTGACGTGGACTCGGCTCGTCACCCAGCCACCTGGCCGTCCTGCTCAATTTGCAAAATAACTGCATCTCGAAGTTGTCGTCCTCATCAGGTGGGAAGGGGGTGCCCAGCCAGAGAGGAACTAACTTGGTCCCAGCGAGCAGCTGGCAGGGGGCAGGGGGAGGGGGACCCCCACATTTACAGCGATGCCCCCCTTCCCACCGCTCAGGATCGCCACATCTCAAGTAACTCCTAGAAGAAGCCCGTGGGCTGCACGGTATGAACAGTGGAAAGGAAAAAAATAAAAGAAGGTGGATTTTCATGGACTATGCGAGATTTCTAAGATTTTAGGGTTTTGCAGAAAAACATACAATAACATCGCTAGGCCAACCCCCCCCCCACCCGCCCGTTAACATTTTTATCTTCCTCGCCCTCCAGCGATCCGGATTTCCTCTCCTATTTGGCCATCGCGCTGCTTTCACTCGTTCTTTCGCGTTAACAGGGCCCCTTCGGGGAGTGGTGGAGAGTGAACAGAAAGCCTCGGGGTTCAGGCGCACGGACTCAAGTACGCACGATGCCACCTTCTTAACTGGGCCCGTGAGGTGGCTTCCTCATTGCCTCAGGCCATCTCTTCGTCAGCAATCAGTGTAGACGTGTTTTTTTTTTATAATAAATTTATTTTTTATTGGAGTGTAGACGTGTTAGAACGAAGGTCCTGGGTGCGGCTGGCGACGGGTGATCCCAGGGGACCCCACAGGGCCTCAGCTCCTGTGCCCCAGCCTGTGCCTCCTGGACCCCCTGGCTCAGTCCTTCACATCCAAAGAGAAGCTTCCTGAAAAGCAGAGCTTCTGGGTGCTGCAGCACCTGCCTTATTCTGTGTCCTCTGCCTGGGACCCCGAAGCCCACCTTAGCCCCAAAGCTCTGCTCTGCCCTGAATCCCCGCTGACGACAGGCCTCCAGCCCCTGGGCCCATTCCCTACTGGGTCGCCTCTCCGCTGCGCCCCGTGCTGCACGGAACCCCTCCTCCAGGCAGCCGGGAGCGACCGGACACAAGGCACGCCCCACGAAAGACAGAAATCATCCGTGGAGTCCCCGGGGCAGCCGTCGGGCTCCAGCCCTGGGGCGGGCATTCAAGCAGCCTCCTGGCCCTTTGTGGGAGGGGGAGCCGGCGGCGGGGCGGCGGAGCAGGGGTCGGTCCTGGGGCGGGGACCGCAGTCTGACACCCCCTTGGCTTCCCGGCAGCACGCGGCAAGGCGGCCAGGAAGCAGAAGGAACGCTGGCGACAGCTGACCGGCGGGGACCAGACAGGCCCTTCCCCCTCCGGGTTTCAAGTGTCACCCACGGGCGGTGAGCCGTTGGCTTTTCCTCCACAAACCCAGTTAAGAGACCATGTCGCCGCCTGGTTTGTCGGGCTCAGAGGATGACTGGCCATCCCACTGCTGCCCGTCACTGTGCTGGCGTCTGGTAGCTGTGACCACGGCCCTGAGGGTGCAGGATCGCCCCACAGCCCCGGCCCCCGGCTGTCACCAGGCCGCGCGGCTCTGGGGCCTCAGCGATCGCAGGCCGCCAGCGCTGTCAGCTGCGGAGGGCGGCTGGGCTTCCTCTGCAAACAGGCTGCAGCGTCCAGCAAAACTGAGCGCATCCGGCGTGAAGGAGGGTTGGGCTCCAGGGGCCGGGAGGGGCCGGGGGGGCGCCCAGCCGATGCCGGGGCTGCTGGCATCTCGGAGAGATGGGACTGTCCTTAAAGATGATTGCAGGGACCCCTGGGGGGCTCAGCGGTGGGCGTCTGCCTTCAGCCCAGGGCGTGACCCGGGGTCCCGGGACTGAGTCCCACGTCGGGCTCCCTGCATGGAGCCTGCTTCTCCCTCTGCCTGTGTCTCCGCCTCTCTCTGCATCTTTCATGAATAAATAAGTAAACTCTTTAAAAAAATATATATCTATATAATTGCAAGTCTGAACCCACGTGCACCTCTGGACACTAACCCAAACGAAGAGTCGGGGATGAGCTGATGGAATTGTTCTTGTCTTGCCTTCAGTTATCCGGGCTTTTGGGCAGGATCCGCTCCCTTTCTTGGCCTCAGGTTCCTCGGCGATGAGAGAAGTCGTCGGTAATGCCATCAACCCTCCTAACTATTTGCAGGTTGGAAAAAGGATCGCAGAAAGCACAGGAACGAGCCTGGCCCGCGGTGGGCAGTCACTAAAAAGTCACTGTTGGTATGAAAGTCACGCCCGAGATTACGGAGTATTTATAAGATTTTTGAGAAGCATCAAATTAGAAGAACCATCGCAGAAGGCTGAAAGGACTTGACTATTTTTATTTTTATTTATTTATTTATTTTATTTATTTATTTATTTATTTATTTTATTTTATTTTATTTTTATTTTTTTAACCTGACTATTTTTAGGTGTAGGACCCAATGATCCGGAAACACTCTTTTATTTTTTTTTTTAATTTTTACTTTCTTTACTCTTTGTGGAGTGTGAACGGTGGACGTGGACCCAACCCGGAGAGCCCCAGCAGGAGGCTGATGATTTGCTTAGACGCTGCTTGCGCTTGTCCTAAAGGGTATCGGTCCCCGGAGATGTTATTCATAAAGGGAAAGATCTGATACGACATATGCCGTGAATTATTTACGTAGATTGTGACACGTCATGGAAAACCGTGCAATAATCTCAAAGAATGGAAATGCTCACAACAAAAGAGTAAGTAAAATACCGTATGGAAAATACCGTATTCTCCGGATCTTGTGCAGACACACACACGGGTACTGAAGCAACACCAGGGGAATGCTCCCAACAGTCCTATAGAGATTCCATGCTTACAGTCAAGATCTGTTTTTTTTTTTTTGTAAAAACAAAACAAAACAAACAAACAAAAAAAAACTTGACTGTAAAAAACATTTTTGTAAAGAGGAAGAGCAGAACCAAAGTGGATCTCGAAGGCAATAAATGGGCAGTGCGGAAAATTCAAACAGTGATGCAGAGAAAATGATGAGCCTTTCCCTCCAAATACAGAGGAGAGAATGACCAAAAAAGTAAATTAACAAAAGAAAACTGGAAATGACAAGAGAGGTGCCCGACTCGCGGGAAATGGAAGGTCCCAGAAAACCCACGAGGGGTTTTTGCAAGGCTGGGCTGCAGCGACAGGTGCCGCAGAAGCAAGATGTCCCCAGGGGGAAGAAGGAGCAGGGACCGGATGGACACGGCTTAGCAAGTGGCGGGTGGGGTGGGGGTGCGGGGTGGGCTCACATTGAGGGAACAAACCAGACAAGTGGATCTGGGCAAAATGTGTGGCATCAGGAAGGAAAAGTGACGTTGGCCGCCGGCAGTGAGCGCAAGCTCACCCCAGGCCTGGAAGCGGGTCACGCAGGATTCGAAGCCGAGGTCCCGTCCCCTCCCGAAACCCCGCTTCCCTTCTGGCCTCTTCCTCAGAGGCCGGACTGTGGGGGGGCCCCGCAGAAGCAGGACGGAAGCTGCAAGCATCCTCCAAGCCGAGCTGCGGTGAGGGGCCTGGGTTGGGCGCCGGGCGGCAGCCTCCCTCCCCAAGGCCAGAGGGTACACGCCACCCCCACCCCGAGTGTGGCCTTCGGCCTGAGGGTCGGCAGGGTCAGGACGCGCAATCCCTGACGAGAGGAAGGGGGTCCAGGGAGCGGAAGGGGGTCCAGGGAGTGGACCTTGAGTGCACAGTGAGGAAATCCTTGTCCTACTACGCTCACGTTGAAAGTGGGCTCACGGCCTGCGGTGGAGGCTCAGCCTGTGTGTCATGGGCACCCCCCTCCCTCCCCGCTCTTAGTCGCTGCTGCGGGATGGAAGGTTCCAGAATCCAAGGCAGGGAGGCAGGAGAGCTCAGCGGGAAGGGCTCTGAGCCAGGCCACAGTGGCGTCTTGTCCACAAAGACGTCGGCCCTCAGTCCTGGCACAGAGTCCCCGCCGAGAGTGACCCGAGCCTGGCACGGGAACGAGGGCCTCTCCTGTGAGGTAGCCCTGCCTCCCGACCTCCAACACAACCTGTGTGCAGGCGGCGGAGTAAGGCCCCCCCCAAAGACATGCAGGTCCCCCCCACATGTGAGGGCTTCCACGGAGAGGGCATCCTGTCGGTGTGATGAAGAGCTGAGATGCAGCATCCTGGACCACGTGAGCGGGCCCATCTGACCCACGCACGGGGCCCTGGAAGCGGAGAACGTTCCTCGTCTGTGGTCGGGGGGAGACACAGCCGTGCGAGATGGCTCAGAGGGAAGGGACGCTGTGGCTTTGGTGACGGAGGAGGGGCTGTGGCCCCGGACGGTGGGAAGCTTCCAGAAACTAGAAACAGCAACGGTCCCGCCTGGAGCCTCGCAGGTGTCAGATGCCTGAGCTAAGGCATTTGGAGAGGATCGCTCTGTGCTGCTTGAAGCCACCAGAATCTGGGACAGCGGCCACGGGAAACTGCCCCACGGGGGCTCAGAGGGCGCAGGGCACAGAGTGGGGGGCGTGGCCACTGTGGGCGTCCGTGGCCACCGACCGCGACCCAGGAGCGCTAGGACCTCAGCGTCTTGACCGGCCGCCCTCCCTGCCTCTCGGACCCTCCAGCCAATGGCGCTTCCCAATTTCATGATTATATACTTGACACCAGAAATATGATGTCAAGGAGGGTGACGGGTTCAGCAGAGCCCAGGGTCCAACCGTGCCGGGAAAGGAAAAGAGCACAACGCCCTGGTATTCTCGGTGGCATTTGTCCCGAGGCGCCCAGTGGGAAAGACACGCCTGAACCCTCACGCGGCCTCGCCCCCTGCACGTCACCATCCAGCACACACTCAGCCGTGAGGAGGACCCGTGACGTGTTGCATGGGAGAGGCAGCAACTCCAGGAGATCGTGGTTCTCAGCGACCTAGCGTGTTCTAGAAGCCTTGGGGCGACGCGGCGTGGTCACAGCCGCGCTGGCCGCGCGGACAGGGTGCTCAGCGGTGGCGGTCACCGCTCTGCAGACAGACAGATGCGGGCTCAGAGCCCAGCCCTAGAACGTACCAGCTGGGGCAAGCAGGCTCGTCGCCTCGGTCCCCTCGCCTGTGCAACGGTGTGGAACGGCCCCCAACTCCTAGTCTTTTGTAGAACTAAACGGGTTGATGCCCGCAAAGTGCTCGCACGGTGGCTGCCCCCGGCTCAGCACGCAGGTGTCCACCTGACGGCCTCTTGGCTCTACCGAGCCTGGGGACAGAGGACAGCCAGCGCCAGGACCCACGTCCAGATCCAGAGGCTCCTAACTGCTCAGCGTCGCTTGTTCTCCAGAAGGACACGCAGGAGGTTCAAAGGCCTCCTTTCTCCCACCTGTAGGCCCTCATGTGGAGCCCCTGCACCCCAGAAAGCCGGACAGTCCCCCCTCCTGTCACCTTACCTGGATCACCCCGCCCCCTTCTCCCACTTGCCCGGCCAGAAAGGCCTCCGGCAGCTTCAGCATCTTCCCCAGCCAGTCCATCATCACCGTCTCCAGCTCCGTGCACGCCGGACTTGCAGCCTGGCGGGGCGAGAAGAGAGGAATCAGCCGCCGCCGGCCTGGGACCGACCGATGGCTGTGCGAGGAGCAGCTCCTCCCTTTGGTGGCTTGGAGCCTTAGGGGCGGTTGCCCAAGAGGCTTGAACATTTTCAAGAGGCCCGTCCCTGGGTGGGATTAACGGGGTGGCGTGCTCTCCCGTCTGGGGGTTCTGGGGAGAAGCAGCAGCAGGACCCCTCGCTCTGGCAGCTCTGACGGGGGGCCGCTCGGCTTGGGTGCTGCAGGGCTCAGCACACCTCCCATCCCCCCTTCCCTCCCGCCCTCCGAGAACCGAGGGAACCACAGTCCCCAGGCCCCAGATGTGCCCCAGAAAGGACGGCAACCTCACCATCCCCCATCCTGGGGACGTCGCCCTCGTCCCCCTCCCCCACCCTTGTCTGCCACCCATCTCCAGAGGCAGGTGTCGGAACAAGGGCCAGGTCTTGTGGGATTTCGGGAGCATCAGGAGGGTTTACTCCTCCACGGAAGCCCAGATCAGCATCTCTCCGTCCCAGATGCTGCTCAGCCCGTATTGACTCTCCGGCAAGGTGTCGCACTCCACCACACCACCGGCCGCCCCCACAGCCGTCTGTGTGCTTACAGCGGGATCCAGGGCCCTCCTCCAGAGTCACGAGTGAGTCAGTGGGACTGGACACAGTCTGGAAAGTGGGTTCCAGGTGGCCTCAATCCCTTGGGAGCCCCCGGGGCAGGTGGCTGCCCTCGCCCTCATGAGCTCGAGGTGCTGCTGTACCATCTCGAACTCTCCCGTCATTGCCCAGGGCAGACGGCAGGACGGTCTTGGTCCCCACCCAGGGATACACGCCAGCTCGTGACGCATGGCTGCTAAGAACAAGCAGCCCGTTCTCTCCGCCAGGCAGCCCCGTGGGAGGGTCCCGGCCCATCCCAGCTCGGACCAGCTCCCGGTGTGGGAGCCCGTGCCATGGCCTGTATGGTCGGGAAACAGTGGGGCAGCCCTCCAGGGCTCCAGAGACATCAGAGTGTCCTCAGGAAGGACAGACACCATAGGGCAGATGCCAAGACGTCACCCAAAAGGGACATGACGGCTCCTGACTGGCAGGTCCAATGACATCTGCCCTGGTAGAGAATGGGGGGAGGGGGTGTCCTTCAGGAGGGAGTGTGCTCCGCAGACACGGGGAGGGCCGCAGGGAGGACCCCTCGCCCAAGCCTTCCTGGGTGGAGCGGGGAGCCTGGCGATGCTGGGTCCCGGTGCTGGGCACCCAACACTCCCAACGCACATGCCTCGGGTGATTGTTCTGTGGGAGGCAGCGCCCACGAGGTCGCAGACCCAGGGACATGCCACATGGCAGTCTGCGGCCCTGGGACCCCTGACGCCCTCTGCACCCGGCTCTGGCTGTGCACGCTCTGCTCTCGGGAAGACGGGCCGGGCTGCGGAAACTGCGGGGCCGCGGCTGTGAATTCCCGCTACCTCCAAAACCCCGTGACTGTGCAGGACCGGCCTTGCTTGTTGGCCCCGAGAGGAGCCTCTGTCTGGCTGTGTCCCCGTATCCCACGTTCCCTCATGGGCGCCGTCTCCAGGGCTGAACGCTTCTCCCCTCCGGCAGGTGCCACTGCCGCGGGCTCAGGCCCTGGGGGCACAGGTGCCCGGGCCCCATGGCAGCACCTCCCACCGTCCCGGGGCCCCCACGAGCTCACCCAGGAGAAGCCGATGCAGCCGATGGCCCCACACAGGATGTCTGCGAGCAGCGCCGGGTAGGAGTTGGCCGAGGGGAAGTAGGCGAAGAAGAAGGGGCTGTGCCAGTGGGTCACCTGTGTGCAGAGGAGCCGTGCCCGGGGTGTGAGGGAGCCGGGCCCCGATCGCGGCCAAGCCTGTGACCTCTCTAAAAGCAAGAGAGGTTAGGAGCCAGGTTTCCCCAAACCTGCTCTAAAAAAACTAAAACCCATATTAGGAGAAAAAAAAAAAAGAACCGGCCTGATTTCAGACTTCTCAGCTGGTCTTACCGCCCCCGACTCAATCTCCTGTGCAAGACGCTCCCCCAGCCACCATGGCTCCATCCTGGCCCGCATCCCTGTCTCCTCTGTCCCCAGCCTTGCAGGGGCCCCGGGGGGAGTGAGGGGGGGCAGATGTGCATGGACAGGCCTCTGGAGCCAGAATGCAGGGCTGGCTGGGGACGTCCCAGGGTCAGGGAAGGAGACAGGGGAGGGGAGAAGACGACGGGTGGGGCGGGGGGGGGGGAGGGGTGGGCGCTGCTCTGCGTCTCTGATGTGTTCCTCCTGCTGACCGGTCTGCTCTGAGGGAACAGAACAAAGCCTCTGAGACGCCCTCCGCCCCCAGGTCACGGAGGTGCTGTAGTTGCGGAGGCAGGGGCCCTGGAGGCCAGGACGGGACTGATTCTCCGCTGGGGGTCCGCGTGCCTTTGCTCTCACTCCGCACACCTGCCCACGGAGCCCTGGGAGCTCCCGTACCGTCCCCGCAGTCACGGGGGGCTGGGCAGGGCCGGAGTCCCACCCCGGGGCCCAGACCCTGCACGCCCCGACCGCCCCCTTCGCACTCAGGAGGAGAACTCCCAATCCTGTCGCGTCCCACGTTCCGGGTGAGGCCGGGTGTGCCTGTGCTCCCAGGTCCCGGGCTGACGCCCTGACTCACACCGAGGTGGGTGGTACTAGGAGTGCCCCCGCCCCCCTGCGGGCAGGTAGGGGTGCATCGGATGTGGCAAGGAGCAGAGGCAACAGGAGGGAGGGGGAGCGGCCATCCGCAAGCCCGCCTGAGGGTCCTCCCGGGAACTGAATCGGCCGCGACCTTGATCTTGCGCTGCCAACCTCAGGACCAGGAGAAGCAAACAGCTGTCTGCCGTCTGAGCTCTGCAGCCCCGGGGTGTTTTGCCCAGACGCCAGCAGACGACGCCACCCGCCACCCCCTCCGCCTGACATTTAACCGCTCCTGCCTGGAGGGGCTGCAAGCGAGGGAGCCAGCGCTCCGTGTGTTTGCACAACCTCCAGGCGAGAACAGGAATCCTGCACTTAGCTCCAAGCACAAATGTCAAAGGAAACCCCTGGGAGGCTGGAAAGCGGGCAGCGGCCCCAAAAGAGGCGCCCAGGTCTTGAGGAACAGCCCTGGCCAGGTCGGTGGCCCCATGACTCACTGACTGCAGGTAAAGGAGCCGGGTCGGTGGCCCCATGACTCACTGGCTGCAGGTAAAGGAGCCGGCCGCCTTCCAGGGCAGCGTCTGCTCAGAAGCAGGGCCTTGTACCCCCCCAAGTAAATGTCTCAAGTAAAATAAATAAAACATCTCTTCCAGGCTTGTGATCTGCCTTCTTGCTAAATACAAGAATGTCAGGAATGCGTGGAAGGACTCTTGCCTGCACCAGGGGCTCAGGGGGACTGACCTGGGTGCCGTCCCAGCTCCATGGCGTCCTCGCTGTGCGGCCTCAGGTGGATCACCTAACCTCTCTGGGCCCCCGTGGGCTCAGCTAGAAAATAGGAGTGATAAAATCTCTCCCCAGCAAGGTGGCTCTGAGGACCAGGTGGCATAAGACGCGTGACTGCCCAGCGCCCGGTAGGTCCTACCCTAACGCTAGCCCCCTGCCCCGTCCGCGGCCTCGGGTTCACGCTCACCCCCGGCATGATTATCTTCTCCACGTCACTGATGATGTCCTCAAACGTGTCTGGCTCCTCGGGTGCAGTGGTGGGGATGAGGGGCCGCAGGTAGCCGGGCTCCACATCCGGGTACACCTGGCGCCCCTCGATGCCTTCCAGGTAGTCGGCCACAAAGTCCACCATCTCCTTGCCCCTCCTTCGGAATTCAGCCGAGTCCATGGCGGCTGGGCCTCGCCAGAGGCAGCACCTGCACAGCCGGAGAAAACAAATCTGTCAGCCAACACGACGACCTCTCACCCGGGGCGGCCAGTTGCCAGGGAGCTGACTGCTCCGCGACTGGGTGGTGACAGCTGGGGTCCCAGCTGGGGTGCGCCTCCGTCCCTGTCCGGACCGTGGAAGCCCCACTGGATTTGGACACGAAGCAACACGCTTACCCTACCCCTGGCCACTGCTCCTGTCTCACCATCTGCAGCAGAGAAAGGGACTGGACGCGCGCACCTCACGCCGGCCCTGCCCAAGCCAGACGGTGAACCCTGCCCGGTCCTACTGTGCCCCTGGCTCTCCACTGGATGGAGGCAGGCGAGCAGAACCCTCTGGGCTCCTGGGCCCGCACGACAACTGCAGGCGACAGAGCCGATCGCTCAGCACGGTGCAGAAGCGACCTCCCACGGTGTGCGTCCCGCGCTCAGCCCAGAGCTCGGGTGCATAACCTCCTGCCGGCTGCTGTCTGCACCCTGTCGCTTCCGGAGTCAGTGGGAGCCCACCCCTCAGAATTCTAGGGGCTTCCTGTACTCGTCAGGGACCACCACGTACTAAGCAAGGGGTGCATTTCTGAATTCCTCCCACGGTTCACAGCTTCATCACTCCGGATGGACCTTCCCGTGGGAATATGCGCCAGGTCAGGGGTGAGTCTATACCTTCCATACACGGCACAGGTGATGAACGTGGGGCCAGTACGCCAGCACGTCTTCCATCGGCTCCCGTCGACCATGCCAGGGTTCTGCGTTTTTTTCTTGACCACATTTATCAGGTGAGAGGTGTTAAGGAGAAATGATTTGCCAGACGTTTGTTAAACACAACCTGAAGATTTTATTCAAGACTATTGCAACAGGGGAGGGAGACTGGATTCCGCCCCCTAGGCCACGGCGGCGGGTCGGGCTGCATAGCCAACAGGTACCGTAGGGCGCAGATGGAACACGGCCGCTCAGAGCAACGCGGCTCGAGGTCTAGGGTGAGGGAAGAAGCGCTCGGCTGGATATCAAGGGGGGAGCCTTCCCGATGAGCCGGCTGGCAGGATTCTTCGCTAAAGCCGGGCTTGGCGTGCCGAGGTGCGTGGATGAAGACGGCTCACAGACGCAGGACTGAGGTGTGTTCCAGGAGGGCGTCTTGGCAGAGGCGGGCCACTCTGGAGATGCCTTTCCACCCCTCAGCGCTCTCTCCAGTCTCCAAGGATGCTTTCCGCAGAGCGCTCCCTGCTCCGTGGGCGGCCCCGGGGGCACCGTTGGACGTTTCCAGGTTGTTTTAAGACCAATTGTTAGATCAAACCCTCATCTCAGTGTTATTGTTTGAGGATACACTTTGCATCTAGGGAACCCGTGTGGGTGACACCGATTGGGACTTAAGGTACGGTTCCAAGTCACAGCATCAGCAGATGCTAAAAACGTGGGATGGCCTGGAGTCCCCGGTTTGTGTTTATAAGCTCGAGGCCCAGGAGAGCTCTGCTTCCCGTCCAAAATATCACGGTCAGACTTTCCGGAGGCTCTTAGCGCAAAGCCACAAAGCTTTATCTGTGTAGCTTCTGGTTTACAAGTCCCTGGACCTGCAGGCTTCGAAACGGATTTTTCATTTGGAGTGACGGATTATTTCAAACTTTGCACAGAGAGTAAAGCTTGCCCTTTACCCCAAATCAAAGTATTTCAAGTTGGTGTGGTTCAGATTCAACCAAAACTGTATGGATTTGCAGGTGTTTTTGTCAGTTTACCTATCTAAGCAGTTACGAGTGCGCGTCCCGCGTTAATACTCTTCCAGCCTGTGCGTTCTCAGCCTCGTTCATATTTCCCAGCTTACGCGTGCTGTATTCACGATACGCTTCGATCGGTGGACGTTTCGGTCAGTCCCAACTGCGTCAGGGGGAAGAGCTGTTGGAGCCCAACGGCCAACACGTCAGGACTGAGAGCCGAAGGCCTCTGACCCAGATGTCTGGTTGTGCTGCCCGGTGTAAACCGGCCCTGTGGCAAACTTGACCTGGAAACAAAAGTCGTGACGGTAACGGCAGGACCGCAAAGGATTTTTCTGTGTCAATTAGCGAGTACCCGGAAAGAGCTTAGAACGGGGGGCGCAAAAGGAACATTCGATAAACGGCACCTATTGGCTCTTCCGTCAGACACCTAGAGGCATAATCCACATTCCCCCACACGTTGTGTTGCGTTACAATTTTCTGAAAGGAAGAGCGTTGACCTCATAATTTCCATGGAACGAAGTCTTATTAAATAGATATTTTCTGTATCTTAAAGTCACAGGGCCACACGTGTCCCCAAAATCCTAGCTCCCCGAAGCGCTCTCCCGGCGGGAGCGTGTGACAGTGCTCGCTCGGCCGTGCCGTCGCCAGGGCTGTGCTTGAGCAATCTAGCTGTGAGCTTCACCAGCCTCCCGGGGACTGACGAGTCTGGATTTTTTTTTTTTTTTTTGGATTAATGAGGTTCAGTGCGTTTCTCTCGCTTCTTCGCCACGTGGATTTGTTTTTTGAATTGCTTGTCCACCGCTTTTACTTAATTGTGAAAGCTCTGCTGTACTAGGTTCTCTCTTATCTCTGTGATGCATCCTGCAGACATTTTCTTCATGTTTTTGTTTGACCTAATTTTGCTGATGATCTATAAGAATTTCAATTTTTAGGTGATCGAATCTCATGATCTTTTCCTCGATGATTTGTACTGTGTGAATGACTATTAAAAATGTCCTGTGGATGGGGTGCCCGGGTGGCCCAGGAGGGTGAGCACCTGACTCTTGGCTTGGGCTCAGGTCTGATCTCAGGGTTATGAGATCGAGTCCTGCGTCAGGCTTCATGTCCTGGACAGAGTCTGCTGTGTCTCTCTCCTCTGCCCTTCCCCTCTGTGCTCTCTCTTTCTCTCTCTCTCTCTCTCTCAAATAAATAAAAGAAATTTAAAAAAAAAATTCCTAGTGGAGTAGGTATTGGGGCCACCTGCGTGTGCCCTGCTGGGGGATAGCACGTGCACAAGTGGAAACCCAGCGTGCGGAGCTGGGCAACATTAAGAAGGATGCTTCAGGGGCAGCCCGGGGGGTTCAGCGGTTTAGCACCGCCTGCAGCCCAGGGCATGATCCTGGAGACCCGGGATCGAGTCCTGTGTCGGGCTCCCTGCGTGGAGCCTGCTTTTCCCTCTGCCTGTGTCTCTGCCTCCCTCCCTGTGTCTCTCATGAAAAATAAATGAAATCTTAAAAAAAAAGAAGAAGAAGAAGAAGAAGGATGCTTCAGTTCCCCGAGAATCGGCTGCTGCCTTGTGAGCCACACGGCACAGATGGCCAACACAGGGCACCGCAGGGAAAACGGATGGACACCCACCGTCTCACCCCCCAGAAGAAATAGTCCCAAATTATAAGAGGAGGCTGGCTCATGACATCCCAGTTCTTTTGTCATCTATTTGCCTACCGTGTCCCACATGCACCTTTCTAGAAGGGGATCTCGTGCTCATTTTGTAGCCATTTGATAGCTCAGGCCCCCGAGCTAGGCAGACATTGGCTGGAAGACGTCGACCATGATGCAGCCTGGGAGTGACGCCCCTGCAGGCCCTCAGAGGAGCCTGTGCGGACATCATCTGATCCCCGGGCGGGCCAGCCCGGGATTCTGTGTGCGCCGTCACCGTGCTGCGTGGGTGCAGGGACCCTGGCCTGCCCGGACCTCTCCACCCCGCCCCCCACCCGCTGGCTTATCCGTCAGGCAGGTCTGAACTCCCCTGCACTCCCTCGTCCCTCTTGCCTGCCCCACGGCTTATTTGGTTTTGTGCTTTATCTTTGCGCGGACGTTCCCTGCCAACGGGAGCTTCTCCAAGCAGCATCTTCAACTGTTGCTTTTTGCTTTCTCAGGACCAAGCACTGACCCGAGGTCACACTGAACTCCTCAAATGCTTGCGATCTAGGGGATGAATGAGTGATGATATGAGTGGACGAACCAAACATCTGGCCCTGTAAACATTTTCTTTCTGGAATATGTTCTAGTATACCCTACTCCTTTTTTTTTCTTTTTGGATTTTATTTATTTATTCATGAGAGACACAGGGAGAGAGGCAGAGACACAGGCAGAGGGAGAAGCAGGCTCCATGCAGGGAGCCTGACATGGGACCTAATCCCACGACCCCAGGGTCACGCCCTGAGTTGAAGGCAGACGCTTGACCGCTGAGCCACCCAGGCGTCCCTACCCTACTCTTTACCTTTAAAACAGCCAGTATCTGCCTTAGAAAAAGCCCCAAGAGACAAAGGTCCTGGGGCACCTGGGGACTCAATGGGTTAAGCATCCGCCTGTGGCTCTGGTCATGATCTCAGGCTTCTGCCCAGAGGCGAAACTGCTTCTCCCTCTGCCTCCTCCAACCTGCCTATGCTCTCTCTTTTTCAAATAAATAAAAATCTTTTAATTTTTTTTTTTTAAGAGAGAGACAATGACCCCCACGGAACCCTGACCCATCCCCTCCGGGTCCCTCACGTCCATGCTCAGCCTCTGTGCCTCCAGCCTCACTAACAGCTCAGTTAGCCCAGCATAGACCCGAATTTTCACCGTGGACTGGAGTTTCCCTCTCCTGTGGCTCCAAAGTCCCACCAGAGCCTGGACCAACCTCAGCCACAGTGTTTGGCCAGAACCCACACCAGGCCCTGGAGGGTGTCCCATACGCCGTGGGGGTCGGGGGCTGAGCGCCCGTGGGACCTCAGAGATGACACAGCTGAACTGACAGGACCAACCAAGTCCACGGTTTGGGTGTTGGGGAGTCAGTCAGCACCGGGGGCAGCCGGGGGCCCGCCGCAAAGGGGTGCTCTGTGTCTGTCTGTGGTCCTGCCTCCAGCTGCTCAGCAGCCAGGTCTTGTCCAAACCCTGGGATGCCGGACACTGCAACCTTTCCTGGTTTTCCTCCTCTAACTTGATAAAAAGTACTTACACTTTTTATACACTATTCCAAGAAAAATGAACCATAATTAGGATTTGAAACACGCTTCTCCCCGGGGCCTGAGGCCTTGTCTCTTTCCCTGACGCACATCAGCACCAATCCAGGCATATAAGTAATTGGACCAATTTTCCTCTGAGTCACCTGGCTTCTTGATGGACATTTCCTCTGCGGGTGCAGAAGCAGAAATAACCCCAACGCCAGAAATGCTTCTTCTAACCCACACCACGAGGAAACTTCCAGCAATGAGAGTCTTCTAACAATAGGGTGGCTAGCTCTGTACTTGCCTTAAGAGAAATCCCTGACGCTCTTCCCTAACTGGGAAGACTCTGGTTAACAATTTAGGAGCTTTAAATTTAATCTTTAAATTAGCATTTTTTTAAGACTGTGTAGGCAGTGAAGAATCTCGAGAGGCCCCTGAGACGCCTGGGGGCTCGGCCATCTCCTCCGTCAGGATGGCGATGGAGCTGTGGCACATCCTTGAGCTCTGACACCCCCTTAGGCCTGCACAAAGGTGCCTGGTCAAAATGCCCAGCCCTAAGCACTCTTGGGAGGTTAAATGGGATAATGAGTTAAGTGCCCCTCAGAGTTGGCATTGGGGCAAAATTTTTTATTAAAACTAGAGGAAATGATGCGGGGCATGGCGGGGGGGTGAGGGGCGGAGGGGATATATGGGAACTCTGAACTGCCTTCTCAATTTTCCTGCAAACCTAAAATTGCTCTTAAAAACAGTATTTTTAAAAAATAAAAATAAATATATTAACTGAGCAAAAGTACCTCATTTTGTGAGGTAGGAGAACCAGCAGCAACAGCTCCTCCCTCTCCTTCGGTGAAACGTGATTTCACCTGTTTCTTCCATCCACAGTCCTTGAGCTCACCTCTTTACAAAATGGAAATCCCAGTGTTTTGCAAACGCAGCTTCTT